TCCCAGGGCAAGGGTTCCACTCCTCTCCAAGCCACAGGACCAAAACTGGGAAGGACAATATGCACCAGTCATTGAAGGAGGCAATTTTATTTAGGCTGTTGCCAGAAGAAGATGATTCATTAATGCAAATGCAAAAAAAAAAAGGAGGAGAAGAAAAAGAGTCTGGGGTTTCACAGAGGCATTTCCAGTCTTAGAGGAGTCATGAAGAAGGAAGGGTGAGCTTTCCCCCAGAATGAACAAAAGCGAGATGGTCCTTTGTGGCGACAAAAAGGAGCTTGTCACCCCAACTGCTCTTTAGTCAGGCTCCTCTGAGCCCTCTTCTCAGCTAGGCCCTGTGTGTGGCCTGCTGACCCCGTGGAACCAGAACCCTGACACGCCAGTTTAGCAAGAATCTCCCTACCCTTGATAGCTAACCGGGTTCCTCTTAGTTTTCATCCACTGACTTTCTTACTCTGCGTCTTGTCTATAAATCCACAACTGCCTTCAGTGCTGGAGACGAGTTCAGTCTCTCCCTGATTGCTATAGTGTTCAATAAAGTTTTCCTTGACTGTTTAACTCCATCCAGTGCAATTTTTTCTTGACAAGCCATTTCTAAATCACAAACTGTGATGGGATTTCTTAACTGTCCCTGCTTTCTGGAAGCACAGACCTACTATAAAGTTTAACACTGTCAGAGGATATAACAAAATTGATCTTGCACAGTGGTTTACAACAAATAATTAAGTGCTTTCAAAATTGTGATTAAGTCTAGCTTCTTTCTACCCATAGGGGACATCATTTATCAAAATGTATTCTTTGAGCATCTACTCTGGGTCAGACTACCTGAAGGGAATACCAAGATGATCAGGATAGGATATGGGATAAAGCATACAGTATAAACACTTTAAGATAAAATAAATAAAAGCAATACTGATTATCATCTTGCCCTCGCTTAGTTCTATTGTCCACCCTTGTATGGTGTCAGGAAATGATAAATCTTGAAATTGACAGCTGCTTCAAAGCCATTTTGTCACATAAAGATGTATAAATCAATACCAATAAATTTTTATAAAGCTCAAAAAAAAGACTATGAGAAGAAATCAGCCTTCTCAATCTAGAGAATTTCTTGTCTCACCAAAAAGTCAACCGTCCAAAAACATCCTTTATATTTTACTCCATTGAAAAAACATGACCCCTTTGTAGAATTTCCATATCATAATCTTCCTTGTTCTCCAGAACAAATATTATGCCTCTCTTTGTTTTCAAAAGTGTATTTGAACTCTTTTCAAATGTATATTTGACATCCTTTCAAGTATATTATCAGTACCCCTTTAAAATACACCCCTTTCAAATAGAGTTTTGGAAGCCTGACAACATATACGTCCATCTTCCCTTCCCTGTTAAGCGTCCCTTTGTCTCCTTTTTCTTACCTGAGTGTTATGAAGCCTCATCTCCCCAGCTGACCACAAGGCAAAGCTTGAAGGGTAGACTGAATATGAAAGAAAGCCTGTCACTTTGATGTGTTTAAAAAACTGGAATGAGGCAATTCCCAGCCCCTGACAGGTAAAGCCCCCTCTTTCCTTTCTGTAGTGCAGGTCCTCTAGGCAGCAACACCTGGTTTTTAGTTCTGGTTCTGAGTCTGTGCTCTCCCCCACCATCACCAGATCCCTGCTGAGTTTAAATTCCCTACAACCCAGTAACACCGGAATCTTCACTGTGGCAAATCCATGTCCAAAGAGCAGTTTAGGAAGCCTGAATGTTACGTTTCTTCTGAGAAGCCAAGAGTATGGTTCTCTGTCAACAAGCTCTGAAGAAGTCACTCCACTTTAATATAAAACTTTTTGTACAAGAACCAGTTGGAACACAGCCCCAGCTGATCTCCCTTCCCCCACACCACACACAGAGATGCATTTTTTTAATCTTAAATCTACCAATCCATTACACATCAAACTGGCCCATCCTGACTCTTCTGCACAGCTTCCCACCTTATCCCACAAGACTCCAGGGGAAAATCTGTCTGCAGGTGAAAATTCAGAGAACAGTGAAGAGAACCTTGGATAGTTCATTTCAAAGGAAAGCTTCAACTCTCCTCGTGCTTTTTCTGACATATCCTCCTTGAACTCTTCCTTGCTCGTGGGATGCACAAAACTGCAAGGCAGAATTCCCCTTCACCCTGCTTTGTGCAGGGTGTTGTGTGGGTGGGAAAGAACATTTCTTACTGAACTGAGAAAACTTTCCCCTGTCAGTAAGTGCATGATAATAGCGCCTGCCTATGAAATGACACTCCCTTTCTGATACCTTTATGCCACTTATAGATCATATTTTTGGATGAAAGTTTTGCTATTGAAGTAGCTGCCAGGTTGTTATGGGCCAATGTGATTGCAATTTACAGTATTTCATCAATCACCACAAGATTGAAAATGCTTGTGACAGATGAGGCTTTAAATTGACATCCTGTCTTTTCATGGGCATTGAAAAGGTTGATCTCATGACATGCTCCACAGACGCATCCCCCTTCTCTCCTCCAGAAAGTCCCCACCTTGCACAGAACTGGAGCAATGGCAGGAAAGGGAGGGAGGAAGAGATAACAGGGAGCAAGCTACAGCTCCCCCGGTGGTGCTCGGTAAGACAGGAAAACCCAGAGCCTGAGTCTCAGCATCTGTGACTGCTCAACAGATAAGATCCTGAAACCATCCCCGGTGAGTGGCACTGAACTGTGAATCTCACGAACTTCAAGAAACCCCTTCAACACCAGGAAATTTAAAAGGCAAAGAAAATTAGGTCAATTCTTTTTGGAAGAACAAAGAAACGTGGTTTCCTTAATGGACATCCCAAGGTCAAGCAATGGTTCCACTAGGACCTCCAGAGAAGGTGACCAGTGTCCACTTTCTGTTCCCCTGGGGCCATGTTTCGGCAACCTCGAGTGTCTATTAGCATCTCCTGAGATGCTGCTGAGACTGCCCCACACTAGACCAACATAGTCAAATCTCTGGGGGTGAAGCCAATACCTGAGTTCCCCTGGTGATTTTATGCCGCTAGTTTTGTGAATCATTGGTCCAAAAACAAAAAGGTAGGCAGCAATGAGGGAAATAGACAGGGTGTGTTAATTCAAGACTTATGGGCACCCCAGGGGGCCAGAAACCACACATGTGGATGTGTATTTAAGAAGCACCGCTGATGCCCAGCAGTAGTGTTGGGCACTCAGTTGGGTCTGACTCTGCAACCCCAAGGACAGTATCCCCCCAGGCTCCTCTGTCCATGGGACTCTCCAGGCAAGAATACTGGAGTGGGTGCCATTTCCTTCTCCAGGGGATTAGCCCCAGACAGTTGTCACCATGAAGGAATAGGAGCCAGTGGCTGTCAGATTTTCTGATTTGTTGAGACTACACAGAAATCTGGATATTTTTAACCCTGAATTTTAAGTTCTGAAAAATAATTTAGAATACTATGCCTCCTAAACAAAGTACATCTTGGAACAAGGAGTTTGCCACCTGTGCCCTAGATATGCTGATTCACACAAAAGAATTTTCCATTAATAAAAATACTTCACCACTCCCCACATAGATGGCCAGGGCAACTCTTTAAGGACCAAAGGTCAGCTTAGTGGACAAGTATTCTAACAAGATCCACAGGCAGCAGTTATACCAGCCCCAGGGTGCATAAGCATCAGCAGGAGACGTGATTGTCAGATGACCCTCCTACTCCTGTATTTGGAGTTAAGTTTCCTCAAGGGACGAGTGGGCAGCAATGTCTCTGCAGCTCAGGTGAGGGAACCGGCTGCCTCACAGCCTCCACGGCTGGGCGGTCAACATCTGATGTGCCTCCAAACACAGTCACATTAACCCCAGGCCTTCACTCCGCCACCTCTCTCAGATCCGCTGAAATAACTCTTTTATTTGCCTTTTCAGTGCCTGCTGACACAAGGCTCTGGGAAGTGGGAGAGGGAAGGAAGCCAGGAGCTGGTAACAACTTCCAGCATTAAAACAGTGGCTAATACTAATTATGCCTCTCCGGCCAGCCAGCAAGCAGACCTATTTTCACTATGAATTAATGCAGAGCGACCTACTTTTCTACATAGTATTTATTATTTGTGCTGCTGTTTTATCGATTTTGAGACTGTTATGTTACAGAGGGATGAAAAAATCTAATATAATAAAACTCTCATTGAAAATAATAAAGCCACATCACGAAATACAAATTTATTTCTTTTCTTTATGAAAAGATAGCATCTGTGAACTACATTTGGGTTGTGGGAATTAGCTAAAGGCTGCTTCAGTGGATTAATAACAACAAAAAGAAATATAAATACATTAATGTTTAGATATAAAACTCAAGATAAAATAATAGAGTGCATTTCTAAATTTTAAAACTTGTTTGCTTATAATGTTCTAGAGATATCTCATAAAGGAGCACAATGTTAGTCTTACAAGACTATATATATTTTCTATTTATATTCCTCTTGTCCCATTTTTCATGTGCATTATATCATCTGATTTTATTATGCCTCATATTTTATTTATTCATTTATGAGGCCTTGGGATTTTATTTCTTGAAATCTGAGTGTAATGTTTACTAAAAAAAAGATAATTAAAAATAAAACCACACAGCTCACATACACATTTTGTTTTATGTGCAATTATAAATGTATTTTCAAGGCAATTTTAATGCCCAATTTCTACAAAGCATCTTCTTCTCCCTGTGCAGCACTCACTCTAAGGAAATCTTAAAAAGAGGCTGTTTGCATGACTTGGGTAATTGCAAGCCTCAGAGATTCCACCTACCCAGGAACTCAAAGGAGTGATTTACATTCTGGTGATGGAAGTAACAGCATGCAAGTGTGTTTAGGTACAAGTGTGTTTCCCAGAAGAAAGAGCAAGTGCCATAGGATATTGGGAAAGGGTGGTCCAGAGACAGGTGGGAATCTGAGAAACAGAACATGGCCCAGAAGAGGCTTCACACTCCAGCATGGCTGTCGTCCTCCCATCAGAATGCTCTCTCCCTGACCTGAGGGGGCAAGGCGCATGGTGTCAGTGCCACGGAATTACTCAGCGATGCGGCCACCACACACACGTGAAGCAGAGTCACCGCTGCCAGGCTGCCCTGCCCTCTCACGTGCCACCCCCTGGGAAACAGACAGCAAGGCCTCCCCAGGTGTGGGAAGCAGCCTGTCCACCGCTGCCTCCTCCTCAGGGGCACCATTCGGAACGGAAAACTTGGAGTCAGAGATGAGGTGAGCCCTGCAGTCTTCCCTCTCCTCCTCATATATTCTTGGGCTGACAGAGGGAGAAAAGGGAAAACACATGAACCCCACAAAAAAGGAAGATGATGTTTTTTTAATCCATAAACTTCTAGCCCAAAATGAGAAGTCGGATATGACTCAGGCCCCCATGGACTTTTTCCTGTTCTTTCCTCCTTTCTTACTCCCTTATTGAAGAAATTAAAGTGACTCATACTTGTCCTTCCAGAATCAGCTCAAGGGTCACTCCCTCCAGGAAGCTCTCCCAGATGGGCCTCCCCCACTGAATCAGATGAGCCTCTTCCCACTGCCAGGATGTCGGCTACATGACTCCTACTGTATGCCACTGTGACGCAGATGTGCGGGCTTGGCTTCCTCAGCAGACTGAGACCTCCCTGCGGGGAGGACCTGGGGCTCAACATTTCCACAGCCCAGTGCGTAGCCCAGAGTCCAACACACCTAAAAGGTGCTTGGCGAACAGTAATGCAATGTCCATAAAGGCTGTCCATCACTAGTGCAGCATCTTAGCTCAATTAAGTTTGTACCCCTTCATCCACCAACATTGACTGATGACTCGCCTGTGACAAGAATACCAATGCCTGGGATGAATACCAAACATACATGATTTAATGTAAACTCCCAGCCAACCTTTAAGAAGTGTATGTTCACTCATATTTTACAGGTACATAAACTGACACTCCAGACAACTTTATCTAACCTAGGTCACACAGCCAGTAAATGACAAAGCTGAGATTTAATCCCAGGTGTGTTTGACTTGAAAACCTATTTTTTTTTTAATCTTAATGCCACTCAAAAAATAAGCTTTCTACATGTGTTATCATTAGGGAAAATAAACTTGAAAACAAATCTATGAACATGGCTTTCCCATCATTACCAACATCCTAATTAATATCTTCATAAGTTTGGAATGTAATTGTCTTTAAAACAAAGCCAACATCATAATTTGACCTAGAAATATTAAGCTCATGTTGTTGTAACTTATTTTTATCAGAAATATGGTATGCGATGCCAGATAGACAGTCACCTATAAAACAGAATTACACTCTCTACAAACAGCTTTACATATTCCATGCTGTGTCACAACCTGCGCAACAGCCCTGATGCGCTCCCCAAAAGTGAGAATCCTCATCTCAAAAAACACGTTACTAATTACAAGTTACTATTAACAGTTACCTAGTTATCCAACTGAATATCCAATACTTAAATATATCCCCCAGAAAAATCTCTCATAATGAAAAAAGGAGTATTATAAAACATAAAATGGAAAACACAGGATGAAACCAGTTCTTTGCCTAGGGCCACGATGCCTATGCCTGGGGGATGCAGCACAAACTTGTCTTGTTCTGTGTAAACTATGGCCATAAGCTTCACAGCAACCAACCATCAGCCTGATTTATTAAAGTGAAAAAAATTGCTTCTTGTTTGTAAGCGCAAGAGGATGTAAAAATCCATTTGTAAGGCCAGTGAGAGCTGCTGTAAGTAAGCCCAGGAGACTTGTCACACTTACAAGGCTGTCGCCACCACCATCAACTGACAGGACCAGGTTTAGGGGGGTTTTCAGTGTTCAAGAAAGGTGTCCCCGCCTCTCCTAGGAACCAGTGCTGCTGCTCTTCTAGTGACCCTAAATGGACGGAGAGTGTAGCCAGCAGCATCTATTCCACAGAGGAGCAAGTCCTAAGAGGAAGAGATGCAGAGAAGATGTATATCCTAGAAACTAGGTGACGATGCCTATATGCAGCCTTAAAAAGATTAGGAAAGCAAGGAACACGCTCTCCGTAGCAAGAGATAAGGTTAAGGTGACAGAGCAAGAAGCACTCACGTTGTCGCATGTCTGACTCCCCACCAGATTCTCAGTATCCTGAGGGTCGGAGTCATGTCTTCTTCATGGAGGCCGGCAGAGGAGCTGACCATTAACAAACATGCAGTGAATGAAGGCATGAAGGCTTGTTTCATTCTTTCCAGGATATTTCCACTTACTGACCTGTGGTCTCCTTATGAAGCAAGTCAACTCGAGGAGTGGGACGAGGGACTACGGAGACCACTCGCTGAAGCTCTACCCATCACTCATTTTTGTCGCCAGTTCCCAGAGCAATTAGGGGAATGTAATTATAAATGTCCAAAAATCTCTGAACTATATCAAGTATCAGACGTTCACTAACATGAGTAGCACATTTATTTAATCTCAAGCATCTTTCTGTACTTGATAGGCTGTAAAGAGAAATTTATATGGAATAAGACATGGTACTTCTTTCCCTATTAAAATGAACATAAATAGCTTATGAATGATGGCTCACTATAACAATTTGCATATCAAATGCACTTTACAAGAAACTGTATAAGAGGCACCTAGTGCTTTAAACTCATGAATATCTGGGGTAATCAAGTAGAAAACAGAATGTAAATAGGAGAAGGGAAAAATAAATACTTCTGCTAAAGCTTAGCTTTAAACAGAAGACTTAGCGTTTGCATTTATGTTTTTCTGCTTTTAATTCTTTGGCATTTTGTATCTTTAAAATATATATTTCAGATGTATATTACGTGTATATATGTGTGTGTATGCATATATGTGTGTATCTGTAGATATATAGGTATAGATATATCTGCCTAAAGTTTTAAAATAGCTTGTAAAATAAACCGAGAGCCAACAGAGCATATTTAAACAGGTTATTTGGTATTCTGGTCCTAATGGGTTAAGGGAGGAAGACTCCCTCAGGAGGAAGACTCTGATCATATATACATTAATTTCATCCCGGCCATGAGATCTGGCATGAGATCTTAGCCCACATATTCTTGCAAATGACTAGAAATACCACATTCCCATGAGGCAAAGTGACAGCCATGAAATTAAGCAGTGTAAGCTAAGACTCCAGCAGCTCCATTAACAAACACACCTCCAGCAAATTCCTCTAGAATATAATCTTGTTTCAACAGTAACTCGCAGCTCTCCACATTCGATATTAGAAAATAACCCAAGCCTCTGGCTTTGTTTTACTATCTTTTCAGGGCCTTCCTTCCTCTTTTCCAGGAAGGTCAAAGATGAGGGACACGGCATGGGGAAAAGTTCTTCTCAGGTCAGGCACCTGTCCAATGATCCAAAAAGCCATCGGTCAAATTCAGGTAAATCTGAAGAGATTAAAAATAGATAGCTATGGTTTTTAATCACAACCTAAAACCCAAAAAGATTTAAGAAAATGTACTGTGATTGTTGAATTATTAACTGAGTTATTCTAAAGAACAGAACACTTCAGTTAAATAAAACAAGTATGATTCTAGCTTTGACCACTGATCTCTTCTCAAGTAGAAAGATCAACTCTTTATGAATAGGGATAGGTCAGTCAGTGTTTCTCTTTGGCTTTTAGTTATTTTTTGTACACTGCTGAAAAATTGGAGTCTCCCACTTCCTGAATTTACTCCCTGTCTGGGCTTTGTTGCTTGTTACCCTGGTGGAAAATCCTTCCTACCTCTTATCCTTCTTCCTCTCCATCCTGCACATGTTGTCACAGTCGTAGCCTTCAGGCAGCATCCTTGACCCTGGCTAGCATTCTGCTCCGCTGGTTCCCATCAGCTCACACTTACTACACATGCTGTCCACATCCACCCAAAGGCTGAACACCCCTTCTCTCAAGACACCCAGGCAGAAGGGGGATGCAAAATTTTATAACAGAGGAGCTTAAATATGATAAACTACTATGAACTTGAAGCTGAAATTGTCCCAGATAGCAGCTCTCAAAGGATGGGAACTAATAGCTAATATGAGTGCATGTTCAGTCGTGTCCAACTCTTTGTGATCCATGGAGTGTAACCCACCAAGCTCCTCTGTCCATGAAATTCTCCAGGCAAGAATACTGGGTTGCCATTTCCTCCTCAGGGGTTCTTTCTGACTCAGGAATTGAACCTGCATCTCCTGCATTGCAGGCAGATTCTTTCCCTACTGCGCCATCAGGGAAGCCCAGAAAGGTGTTATAATACCTTATAATCCTCCCTGAAGAAACTGCCATCAAACTAACCCACCACGAGAGGACACACCAGCCACCTGCCCCTTGAAAGGCAAGAACCATCAGCCACATCTTTCTTATTTTCCCTCTCCTAGGGATGGGACAGGCTATTTATTTTCTTCAGGGAAGATGGAAACCAGGCAAAATGAATTCCTACACAGTTACGGGGAAAGATTAAGCTTAAGCATAATCTTTGACTCAGCCAGCTTTCAGAATATCTTTCAATTCATTTGTCTTCACTCTATAAATTCAAACTTCAGAAGGAATACCTCAGTGGAGTTATCTGTAAAAGGGAAAAAACAAAGATAGCTACTGTGTTGAGCTTTTCTGAGGACTAAATGAGATAAAACTCAGAAAGTACCTAGAACAGTTTCTAGCAGAGAGTAACACTCAAAAACTTATTTTTACTAAATTAAAATTGAATCTAGTCATTGCATTTCTCCCACACTTACATCCATCCCCCTAATGACTGTTTAGTGAAGTCAACTATATGCAAAGCATATTAGAATTCTTTCTTGGGAGAGCAGGCAGTATTGTGGCAAGAACTGTAACCATTCCTCTGTCATCTGCTGTTTTGAGAACAATAACTTACTTTTACCATGTGAAACCAATAGCAATTACTGGGTAGAATGTGTTCCTAATGAGATCACAACCATAACCCAAAGCTTCTAAGTTTCCTGGAAGAAATTACATCTCAAATGCCATGCTGTAAACATAAGAATTGGAAAAAAGACATAAGACAGTGCTGGAAAAAAAATACCCTAACAACAGTGCCTATTTTGAAATGGTTTTATGGCAAAATAAAACGTATAATTTTCTCATTTTACCTGCTTTCTAGTGGTAAGTGAAGCAGGAATGACATTGATTTTCATATTTTCTTTCTCTGGTCACTATATACTCAGCTTTTCTGAAAAACCACCTTTACATAGTGCTCACACTTAAACTACATCCAAAGGTTTCAAATTTTTTAAATATATAAAAGCAGCTGCCTGGGATCTAGCAGACAGGCATTACAGTTGACATTTGCAAACATCATTGTTTCAGTCCCAGTTCACAGGCATTTTGACAAGAAGAAAATACAAACCTTCACTCATTCCAGGGCAAACATTCTGAAACTAAATGATTTACATGGTAATAGGCAAAGGTTAAAATCACATATTTCATAGCCTTCTTACCAACTTCAGTCAAACCTTGGAAGTTAAACTATGGAAATCCTTGGTCTTTCTATATCCCCTGTGTATATGCATATATGAAATAAGCATTTTAATAATAACCTCTGAGACCATGAGGTTGGGTTTCTGTACATGAGACTACTTACCCAAAAATGTATACATACAATAGGAATCAATAGGAATTTTAAGTGATTAAAATTTGGAAGTTTAATTTGAAAAAATGAACTACCATTTAAACAGTGCCTTGAGTGTTCCGTAAGTGAAAGTCACTTTGCGACCCCGTGGACTATACAGTCCATATATTTAATATAAATCAAATCTCCTGCCATTGAAAACTGAGGTATGGCATTTAAGCTGACCAAAAGAAGAAAAAAACCTTAAACACACATAAAAACTTAGCACCCAAATCCCAGAATGGCCAGTGGAGAGCATATTCAAAGCACCTTGGGTGGGGAGACAGATCTGTGAAAATGAAACACTCATCTCTAAGAAAAGTATTAAGGTGATTTGGGGGAGAATTTTTTAGAGGCTAGATTTAAACTAATTTTCTATTACTCTGTCAGATCAGAATATTTTGAAAATATTTACATTGGCTACAAGAAACTACTTAGTGATGACATTTATAGCTCTGGTTTCATGGATACTGAAATGTTAGTTCAAAAGTCTCAGCATCAGTATTGCAGCGTTTTGACATACCTCCACTCAACACAAGGAAATGTTGCTAATGCACCCAAGTGAAATGGATTTGAGTTTACATTTTCAGACATGACATTAAGCAACCTTCAATAAAATCCACTGTTACAAATGAGGAATCTTTGAGTAATCAATCACAAGATAGATGGCATCTGAGAACCACTGGCTTCATCGATAGCATACGCAGCTCCTGAAGATAGGTCTATTCCCCTAGGAATTCCTTTCTTTGCTGTTCTCAGGCACAGGCCTAAGTAACTTAAGGGAAGTGTGATACAATAGTTTATCTCATATTTCTATTTTTTGATAGATCAAGAGCTGTAACAAGAAAAGTTCTTACCCCATGGTGCTTCAGTTGGAATACATTTACAAAATTAACTTTGAAAAAAAATTGGAGTTGATTAGCTACATTAGATATTCTGACAACAAATCCAACTCATCCTAATCAGTCATAATTAGCACTGATGTTTGATGAGAGGTACAAGGAACAGTAGCAAGCTGACATCCCTCTAGGGAACTGGGGAAAGTCGGCTCATTTTCCTCAACTTGGAAAGGAAGTATATATACTATGTTGGCCAAATTGGCAAAAGAAATGTATGCTCAACCTCTAACAGATTCAAGGATGTTCTGTGCACGTTTAGCACACTTGGCAAGTAGGTTTTAGTTTTCTCCAGGAACGGGATGTGAATCCTGCAATCCTGGCATCTCAGCAGAGTCAAATGCCAACCTAAGCCATGCTTTCCACCATAGTTCTCAAGCCCAAGAATGTTAGAGAATATCTCCCGGCAAGGGCGGCAATAATTAAATTAGCATGATTCTATGGCCTGGGATAATCCACTGGATTAGAAAAACGAGGCAAAGCTGGTCACTGTATTATGGCAGACACATTCCCATAACCCCAGCTTGGCAAGGAGGGCACTTCTAGACCATATCAGCCTGAAACAAGCCCATCGAAGCAGACCAGGTTCCCCACGACTCACTTCCCAACAAAAATAAATGCTGCCTTTAGTATCAGTCAGATCTGCCATGACTTTACAAAACAATTTTTTTAAACCGCTAAATTCCTTGTAGTTCTGCTGGACATAGAGAAACAGGATCTAGCATCTGTGGATTCACCTGGGTTTAAGTCTTTGCTTCTACCCACCCAGCCTTCCTGCCTCCCCCAGATGAAGTTCTCCTCTGTCTCACTTGTATTTTCTATCCTGCCTTTGAAATTACGGGGTTGACCTAAAAGTTCATTCTGGTTTTTCATAATATGTAATGGAAAAAGCCAAACAAACTTTTTGGCCAACCCACTACCTTGCTCCCATCAGCCTTGAAACTCTCAAGTCTTTTCATTAGAAACTCACCTTCCACTACTTCTTCACTAATCAGCTTACTCCTTAACTTTGGTATCTGATTTCCACCATTTTTACTCTACAGGAATCTCTTCCCTCAACCTTCATTTCTGATCTAAAAATCTTTCTTCATTCTTGAAGCTTTCTTGGGAACCCTTGACTGAGCTGACCATCTGTGTTTTAATCTCCTCTTCCCCACAGTACCAGCAACACAAATTTCCTGAATTTTCTCATCTCTTGGTTTTTATCTTCCTCTTCCTCTTAATTATAGGCTTGTCCCCAATGTGTCAATAGAGCCCTTTAGCTTCCTTTCTCTATTCTCTCCTTTGACAACCCCTTCCATTACTAAAAGTGACCAGTGAAGTCAAATGCTCAACTACATACAGCCTGGGGTCCATGCTAGAGTATAGGCCATAATACTCAGAATTATTGTTGCTTCTTGACTGTAAGTAATATTAAAAGCTATTCTCATGTTAAAACAAATATAAATATCAATTTATATACTTAAGATTTGTTTTCATTTAACTATTTGTCAAACTCAGTTGTAAAACAATGTTAAGAAAAAAACATATATATATACTGAAGAATAAAAGGCAAAATAAATTTTTAGATGAAGCATAAACTTGCCAAGCAAATTTGTTTCTTATGCCCTAACTCTTCCCTGCCCAAACACCTCCAGGTCAGACCTGCACACACTCCAGTTCCACATTTTCACTATCTTCATGGACATTTCTACATAGTTTCCCAGAAATCCATCACACCCCAAACCTGATTCCATCCCCAGGGATCCTGTTTTGTCAGCAGCAGCACCGGTTGGAGAGTGACCCAGGCCTAAGCGCTCATAGGACTGGAATTCCCCTCTCACTCTCTCTGGTAGCTGTGACCAAGCTGCTGCTCACCCTCCCTAAGCCTACCAATTCATGCCTGTCCTCTCTTCAGTTTTTTATCTCCATTCCTCCCTTCATTTTCCTTCTTGTAGCCCCGACTTCCCTTTACTGCAAGCATTACAATGGTCTCCTAAATGATCTGCCTCCTCTTTACCATCCGCATGCCTCTTCCACAATAATAATTTCCACTCTCAGAAATGTTCTGTCATTCCCAAGAACCACCTCTGTTTAATCAAGATGGAATGTCTTAGCCCAGCCCAAAGTATCCCCCTCCTCTCTGGTCACACCTTCTGTTACCTTTTCCTGCTTTTATCCTCCAAAGTCATTACACTCTCCCAAAAACATGTTATTTGAGTTTTAGGTCAACATTAGCATCTTTCCTGGGTATGAGATGGGGGAAGGGGACAAGTGAGGGTTTCAGTCCGTAATTCCATGAACATTTCAACAAGCCAGGTCTAGCTCTCAAATCCATTGTGCCCCTTTTTATCGAAGATGGGTGTGGTCCATCAGAGGGTTGTGATCCATCAGAGCAATGACATGTGCAAAACAGAGGGTTTTGCCTGCTGCAGAAGCAGAGAGCTTCATTTCACTCTCACTGTTATCTTCTCCATGTACCACACTGCTGCCAAGTCCCGTGGGCCTATTGGATTTCCATGTGTGTGTATTTCTTTGCTTCTGTGTGATCTCAGCAGGGATAAATGAACCTAAGATATTAAAATGTAATTTGTTCAGATCTTTGCCTTTAGGGTGAGCACTAAGATGCTGCCATCAGCCAGAAAATTTGTGATCTAATTTAGAAGCAGTGAGCCATGCTGTCTTTCTTCAGACACTTCAGAAAGCCGCACTGGGCCCCCACTTTTCTATGGCTTCGTAAAAGATTTTCTTTCTAGCTATAAATAATGTTGATTTTTTTTTTTCCTCCACCTTAACATTCCAAGATAGATACATTTAGTTAAGGCAGGGAGTAGAAAGGATGCTCGTTGGCTGTCACTCTTTCGAAATGCCACATTGCACAAGTGACTTACCTTTAATCTCTCAGCTTTGCTCTATCAAAGGCTCTCCCACCCTGATCCCATTTTTACTGAGACATTTTGAAGAATATTCTCCCTGGTACTTGCAAACAGAGTCCCAGGATCAGCACTGAATGGACTGATGCAAAGATTTCTAAATTGGAAGTCCTCATATGCTCTGTGATTTCTTACCCAAGTATCATTACGTTAACATCTTGAGGACAATCACGAAACCAAAATCAAAGAAAGATTTTTTTTGTTTGTTTATTTTTCAATAGGTCTTTTGACCAATTTTAGTTCATCTTCCATCTTATCCCAGCTCAAGACTGGTTATTACTAGTTCATGGGGGTTTTTTCCTTTGGTCTTGCAGCAAAAGAGGAAACAAATTGTGGGGTTTTAAAAAGTCTATTTGGTACCAATCTTGGGTTATTTTTTAATTCTAAGGTTTAGTTAGGATAGAAATGGAAGACATAAGACATGCCTTTTTGAGATGAATTCAGCATAGTTAGAGACTGGAGTAAATCCAACTTAAGAAAGAGCCAGAGACCAGTCAGATGAGTGGCTGAACTTCCCAGAAAGGATCTGAGAAAAGAGACTCGGAGTTCTTCTGAGAATTGAAAACTTCCTTACACTCTCCTGCTACCCTTCAAGAAAAAAAGGTAAAGGACAGGTTTCAACTTCCTAAATGAAATTTAATTCAAGAAAATGCCATTTTGTTATTACTGAGATTAATAGGCACACATACCCCAAGAGGAAACGAAAGTAAACCAAAATAAATGTATCCAACAGTAATTTCAGAGTAACATAATAACATAATGCTGGGCTAGCAACTGAAACACATGTGAGTTTGGCATTTCCTTTACAAAAATCCAGCAACTTCCTGAAACACAATTATTTCCAGATTACATGTAGAAGAGAAAGCACTAGAATCCTCAGGTCTTCAACACAAAAGGAACCAAGTCACACATTCATTGGCTGCTGCAGACACCAGCAAGATGTCTTTTGTGAATACTAATTGATGGATAGCTTCTTAACAATGCAACAAAAGGGATTTGAGGCTTTTAAAATAAGATGTTGCCTTGCAATTCAAACAGTAAATCTGACAGAAAGCAAATAACACTCTCAGCAAATGCAGAAGGCTACAGACTCCCAAGTATAACAGCACTTTTAAGAAGGAAGCTTTCCAGGGCAGCGGCTGCACCTTCAAACAACACTAGCAGAGCAGCAGGACACACACCTCCTTTAAAATTCCCTTCCCTTCCCCAACTCGGGTTTCATCCAACACTGGGGCTCAACCACTCACTGCAAAAAATCAGTGTGGCTCGAAAGGACCAAGTGATGCCGCTGCGCTACAGATTTACCTGTTCTAACCCCTCAACCTAATCTCGAAAGAAAAATGACAAGGACGATGGAGGATAATACCAAAAGATCTTGCACCAAAACTCAAAATGTACATACCTTTTCTTTCTAAATCCAGCAGATTGCAAAGTTCTCCTTCCTTTAAAATAGCAAAGATTCTCAGAGCAACTTTGCAAGCTTGATTAAAAGGCATATCAATTTCCAGGAGAGGTTTTTACTTTTCAATCGCATTTTCCTCTGTGAAAACCTTTATTAGATTTTCAACTCTAAGTGTGTTCTGACTATATAATTTAGCAAAATGCTGCACTTCCATAATCCTATTTTCATCATGCAGTATGATTGTTTATCATGAACATAAATATAATCCATAGGCTTCAACAAAATATGTTCAACAATTTTAGGACTACCTTAAAATAAAAGTTGTATAAATTGTCACTGAAAATTACACAGCCACATTACCTGTATTTCAAATTGCACTGATTAAGACTTTCATATACCCAACCCATTCAACAGAGATAATTAGATAGCATAGGAAGCTCTAGCATTATAAAATCAAAGAACTTAAGCCTCATTGTAAGCTGTGCTTCCTGTCTGAAATGTTTGTAGGGCATGACTGCCACCCACTGGCAGACATTAGAGATTGCACCATTCAACCAAGAGCCAGGGACTTCATTTTTGCAATCCAACCAAGACAGGATTTTTCCCTAGAGCCAAAATGCACCAGTTTTGTTAGGTGTACAGTTTCCCTCACTAGATGCTAATATTTTTGTAATGAAATCACATAACAAGGTTCACTTTTGTCATTACATTTTACATTGTGTAAGCATTTTACATAATACATACACACACGTGTGTGCTTATGTACTTGTTTTTTAAGTCTATCATCCTTTACAAGAACGTAATCTCAACAACAGCAGCAATATTTTATTCACTAATGTATTCTACTGGGCCTAGAACAGTGTCTGGCACTTAGTGAATATTGTTTACTATGAATAAATGAGCAAAATACTGATGTTTTAAGACAATACAATGTACCAGCTAATAGCCTCAGTTCTAAAAACAAATGAACATAAGCTGAAACTGTGGTTGTCTCTTATATCTTCTGCTGAGCCTCAATTTGCTGATCTATTAAATAAAGATACCACCACCAAGGTAGTTAGAACAACTAAATGGGCAAATAAATGTTTATAAAGTACTTGGCACAGAGTAAGTGCATAATAATTAATATTATGACCATTATTAGTAAGTTCTATAGCTCAAGTGAGGGGTGGCAGCAATTTAATAGAGGCCTTAAGCTTTAAGAGTTCTTCCTTCACCATAATCCTTGCTATTAAAGTTCAGCCTACAAAATTCTCCACTTTCATCAAGCGCTAGTTCCAAACCAGCGTCCAGTAAGCTTTCAGATAGTCGTAGATCTTTAGAACTGTTAGAGGAGTTGCAGTGTGATATTTAAGAAATCACTGTTCTGGAAATCTCTAGATGGTACTGAAGCACTTAAAGAGTTCAGAAATCTCTGGAGGGTTCTGCAAGTTTTCCAAAGTTTTAATTTGCATTACAGCTGATATAATGCTTTGTCACTGCCAGGAAACCATTCCGGACTTGCAGACACGCACCTTCCCATGAAGGCTTCTGTTAGAATGCTAGGCAGGCAACAGAACACCCACTGAAATGGACTTAAACCTCAGGGACTTTATTGCGGTTCACAACATGAAGTCCAGGGCCAGCATTGTTGATGACTTGCAGCTGGGCAGTATTGACAAAGAACCCGTGTCCTTTTCATGCTGTATTCTGCCGTCCGGTATGTTACTTTATCCTGAAGCGGGTTACTCGTGTGGCCTTAGAGTGTTTCCAGCAGAGATCTGGGCCGTATGGCATGCTATTCCTATTCAGTGGGAAAAAGAATGGTTCCCACGTGCACCCTAGGGAGGGTGAAGGATTCTTCCCATTGAGCCCTGACAAGTCATTTCTCTAGGCTGATTGGTCAAAATACTAAAACATATCCACTCTTGAACTGGCTGCCTGTAAGATTAATCTGATTGATTTGAAGTCTTAGCTCAATCATGATCTGTCTGTGGGGCAGAATGGGGTCAGCTTCCGCTGAGTTCCAGGGGCTGCATAAAGGAGGGGAGTAGACCTGCAATCAGGTTCGTTAAAAAGGAAAAGGGAAAGGGTGGGGACAGGGCACGCAGCTTCAAGTCCCCACTCTCGCGAGAACACAGAGACACAGTGGTCTGGGCTATGAAAACAATGGTCAATATGATGAATTGTTCATCATTTTTTTCAAATCCTTGAAATAATTTTAAGGGGATGCTTTCTGGTAGTCCACATACCAAGAACCCAATATGCTTCCATGGCAAATGTTTCATCTTTAGGTCTACTAGGACATAAATGTTCTGTGAACTTTTACTGAACATGATACAGTTCAAGCAAAGAAACACACTTAAAGCTCTGAAGACAAGTGTCTATTGCTCCTCTGGGTTTCCATTTCTCCACCTGTTAAATAAAAGATGGACTGCATGAGTTCAGAGGTCTTTCCCAACTTCTTCGTTCTGTGCAGTTGAATCCTGATCCACTCTACCACATGAATATACTTAATAAGCTTGCACACATTTTTATTCCTCATTTAAGTAAGTATTGACCTCTTATTGTATGAATTCTACTTGGTATGGAACCGCTAAGACAAACACAAGGGTGAGGCAAGTTCTGGCTTTCCAGAACCTTCACTGGGGAGAAAAGGCAAATATAGAAAACAGGGCAGAAACAGTAGCAAAGTTAGACTAGAGTGGAACAGCGGAGTGTCCTGGGCAGGAAGAGTGAGGTGATGGGAGACGGTTAGAATCAAGCCAGATTTGATTTAAAATATTGACCACAATGGGAAAGCAGGAATTGATTTATGTTTATGAAACTGTGAGTAGACAAGATGGTCACGATGATGGACAAGGCTGATGATGATGCTTGATGACGGTGACAGCCCCAGGTTACTGTGACCTACCAAGTGCCACACGTCAGTTACAGTATTTCGTATAATGTCTACAAGAACACTAGGAAAGAGGTGTCATAATAAAGTACATTTTATCCTCAACTTATCTTACCCAAAGTATACAAAAAAGTAGTAAATCTGTGGTTAGAACACACATCCCTACAACCTCAGAGGCCACTTGCCTTTGCCTTTACTGCACTTCTCTGCCTCTTTTAAACTCAGGAGCTCACATCACCTCTTGAGCCTGCCAGTCCAGCTGTATGCCTATGTATGCACAACGGCCAAATCAGAAACACAGGAATGTCTATGACAAGGCTACATCTTTCACACAAATGAAACAGCTTCACTGATCCCATAGAGAGACCATCCCTGGTTGCAAGAAGATGCAGAGTTTCACATTTTATATTACCTAATTATGAAATAGAATTATGGCAATTTAAAAAATGGCACTGCTCATCAGCCACTGACATGCTCATGTCTGGACACAGATGAGAAAAAAAAAAAAGGCAGCTTTCAGGCTTTTCTCTTGAAACTGGATTGAGGGGTTCTATTGAAAAGTGATCCATTGCCCAGGCTGCCTGCTGCTCTGTAAAGACCCTGCCCACCAATGCAGGAGATTCAAGAGATTCGAGTTTGTTCCCTGGGTCAGGAAGAGTTCCTGGAGGAGGAACACAGCAACCCACTCCAGTATTCTTGCCTGGAGAATCCCACGGTCAGAGAAGCCTGGTGGGCTACAGTCCATGGGATCGCAGAGTGGGATACGACTGAGCATGCACACATACTGAAAAGTGACTCGGTGCCTGCAATGCCTGCTGCTGTGTGTGTGAGGGTCTCACTCAGTGAGAAAAAACAGGGGGGCTGCCTCTCTGACTTCCCACCCCCACAGTCACCGTGTGTCCACTTCTGTTACCTGCAAAACAGCACTGCACCCAGATCCCCAACTCAGCGCATGTCTGAAGTTCTTCCAGTAGTTTCTGCAGCCCAGGCATATGCTGGGCAGGGTCACCCCATAGTCTGACTATGACACGCAGGACACAGACAAACTCCATCGCTAGGCATCATTGTTCAAATGGAAATGAAGTTCCCCCACCCTGCTCTAGTCCCCACACACACTCCCCAGGAAACGTGGAGGCTGAACTTCCTTCACCAGCCACCGTCCTCTCCCCGACAGTTGTGAAAAATGCCTTTTGATCTGTGACCTGCTTTTAAAAACTGACACCTGGCTGTTAGGGCAGTAATTAGACGTCATTTAAAAGTTATTTCTGTCTTGTTAACTGGATGACTCTGTGATCAAATTGTGGGACAATTTAGAGGAATTCAGGCATATTGATTGTATAATCCATACCGTGTATAATTAATAACTACCCACTAAAAGCTCTATGTGAGAAATTGTAAGGATTCACAATAGACAAAACGTCAAGCCTGAACAGTGCCTTCTCCTCAATGCCTTTTATTAACTACACGTACAAGGGAAAGCGTTTCAAGGAGATGAAGTCGAGACTCAATGCCAGAATGTACTGACACTTTTGCTCAACTTATACCCCTGATGGCCGAAGACTAATGTCACTTGGAACTGTCCTCACCCCAGAAGACTGAAGTGCCATCTCCCTGGGACTGCACGTCTTTGTGGGGCCCTCTGACTGCTGGCTCCTTACAGATAGCCGCACTCATTACTTCTGAGTTATAAATGGAGCTCATCCGCAGCCACAGAGATGCAAGGGCTTAGGCTGATCCATCTCACAATGAGCTGATGCCAGCAGGTTAATGTAGGCTGTTTCTACTTATGCCTCAACAATGACAAAATTGTCCTGGTTATGGTAATGCTGATCAAGGTGAATTCTCTGTATGCTTGAATCCTATCCTGCAAATTTATAGCAACAGCAGGTCCCCAAGAAATATGCACACATATACACAGACATTATCATTAACTAAGACTTCTACTCCAAACTCTGTTCTCCCATGTTCTGACCTGGCTCTCTTCTGAGAACCAGAAAATCTTGAGCTATACCACAGGCAAGCGCCGGCCCAGTGGCTCTCTTATCCAGGCCCACTCTGCTGCTGTTGGGCCTTCAAGAGCCTGAACCACAGCTCCGAGGAGTAAACAGCAGAGCTCATAAAAGAAGAGATGTACTAATGCAAAGAGAAGGGCCTGCCAGCTCCATTTGTACATCAGAGTAAATGTGACCTTGTTTAGTCTTTATACACAGGCTGGTTGGGCACCTGCATCAATTTATCATCCTTCTGCTACATCCACTAATGCACCATTTTGGTGGGACGGTGACATCATAACAGCTTATATTTGTTGAGCTCAGCATTCTGCTAAGTGCTTTACACGCGCTGTTTTATTTAATCATCAAAACAACTCCAGAAAGGTAAGTGCCAACACTACCCCCAACATACAGGTAAGGACACTGATGAATGAAGATGTTCAGTAACCGACACCAAACCTAGGACTTGGAAACGGTCGAATATAATAGGAACTGACAGGCCTCTCTGTCTGCTACCAAGAACTCCCCTAGCCACATGCTCTCTAAGAAGTCCATCTCTTCTTGACAAAGGTCAGCATTCCTCCTCTTTAGAGGCAGAATCGGGGAAAGATAAGGAAATCGAAGGAGAAAGAAAGGCACTGACAAATGTGGGGGGAGAAAGACCGGATCTTAAGAAGAAAATATTGCTGGGAGAAATTTTCAGTGTGAAGGAAGCCAAGACTTGTGAAATAAAGATGGCTGCTATTCAGTTGTAAATCACTTCCTGTGTAGTACTCAGCTCTGAAATAGCCCCCAGCAGTCATTTTTCAAGGGCCGCCAGAACAAGTTATCCCAGACTGGGTGGCTTAAACAACAGAATTTTCTCACAATGCTGGAAGCTAAAAGTCTGAGATCAAAGTGTCGACAGGGTTGATTTCTTCTGAGGACTCTCTCCTTGGCTGGTAGATGGTCATCTTCTTCTCCCGGTGTCTTCATGGGATCTTCTCTTCTGTAGGTATCTGAGTCTAATCTTCTCTTCTTATAAAGACATCAGTCATGTTGAGTTAGGACCCACCCTTTGACTTCATTTAAACTTAATTATCTCTTTTAAAACCCTATTTTGACAAAGATCTGAATACTGAAAGCTATGGTTTTTCCAGATTCACATATAGATGTGAGAGTTGGACAATAAAGAAGGGTGACCATTGAAGAATTGATGCCTTTGAATTGTGGTACTAAGAGAAGACTCTTGATAGTCCCTTGGACTACAAGGAGATTAAACCAGTCAATCCTAAAGGAAATCGACCCTGAATAGTCAATGCAAGCACTGATGCTGAAGTCGAAGCTCCAATGTTCTAGCCACCTGATATGAAGAGTTGACCCTATTGGAAAATACCCTGATACTGGGAAAGATTGAAGGCAAGAGAATAGGGTGCCAGAGGATGAGATGGTTAGATAGCATCACTGACTCAATGGACAAAAATCTGAGAAAAATCTGGGAGATAGTAAAGGACAGGGAAGCCTGGTATGCTGCAGTCCATGGGATCACAAAAAGTCAGACATGACTTAGTCACTGAACCACAACAATAACTTGAGGTACTGGAGGTTAGAGCTTCAATATATGAAATTGGGGGTGTACAATTCAGCCTATAACATGCATGCACCCCCACCCACCTAGTTTACCTCTAGATTTTCAGTAAAGTCACTGTCTGAGATGTCTTAGATGTCTTAGAAATGTGGTAGAAAACTAAAGGCAAAATTGTCTTCCATATATGGAATTGATGAAAGGATAGAAGGGGAAGTAATGGACCAGGAGGTCAGATGAAGAGCAGCAAACAATTTAGCATAAGCAAGAAAAAAAACACAGACAGACATGCTAGGAATAGTTTAGTTCCCCAGCCCCCACCTCCCAGAGATACTATGATTCCCAACAATACATGAGATAGGCCTTGAGTATATTTTGCTCTGTTTGCTTATGAGTATCAAAGGAATGATAACTCCTGATGGCTGGATATCTTTGAGTGACACAGTAATGAATGCTATGGCAATTTTTTAGTGACTTACCATCAGATTTGAAGGCTTCCCTGGTAGCTCAGCTGGTAAAGAATCCACCTGCAATACAGGAGACCCCAGATCAATTCCTGGGTTGGGAAGATCCCCTGGAGACGGGAATGACTACCACTCCAGTATTCTAACCTGGAGAATTCCATGGACTGTATGGTCCATGGGGTCACAAAGAGTCAGACACCACTGAGCAAACTTCACTTTCACTATCAGATTGTAGCCTACTTAAATCAAAGGTCACTCAACCCTTGTGATAGAAATGAATGCAGATATTTGACTCTTGATTATATATCTCTTGGTTACCTCTTGATTCCCAACCCAGTTTACCATCCTTCCCTTTAAAACAAACTAGAAAGAACATCATACACTAAAGATGAGAAGAATAATGGGCATCTTCTAGGAT